CTCTAACAGAACCCTGCCTCTCCCTCCAGCCTCACATCTCAAAACATCATACTCCTTTCTCCAGTCCCACAGAAATACATTATATGTTCAATTCCTGCCCAGCAGTAACTAGGCCATGCAGAGTGGGAAGAACCTGGTAGGAAGTGTAAAATTCCAAAAATTCCGAATTACAGAATCCTGTCGGCACTAGCAATTATTATTAACAATAGAAGGGATGATAACAGTACCGGAGAGTATTATCCTTGATCAGTGTTGAAAAAGACTTGTGCCTGTCTGAGACGCAAACACAGCCAATGTCTTTGTAGTCTAACAATGGTTTGTTAAAAAATAAACAATGGCTAAATTAATTTCTTGCAGTTACATTCTATTTTTAAAAAATATGCACTGGAGCCCAGCATCACAGCAGAGCTAATTTACAGCTGCAGAAAGCTGTGCTTGTGTGCCCGCGTGATTTCAGTTTCAGCTGACCACTACGAAGCTCTTCTGAAGTGAGGAGCAAAAAGAAACGATCAGCAAGGAGAGTCTTGTGACTAAAGTCTATTAAAGTTGAAGATAGTTATATTAACCACATTTTTGCATGTATTTTTCATTTTTTATATTTACCTTCTCTTGTTTTTATGATCATTTTTCCATGCAGGCAAGATAAGGAAATTCATTAAAACAACTGGCAGGTACAGTGAAATTTGTTAGGCACAAAGTCCGCCGTAGTCATTCCAAAGACACTGTTTGTTGTTGTTACAAGTTAAGTAAAACAGTTTCAGACAGCAGTAGGGATTCAGGGTTGACTTCGACCTCTTTCAGTTATGCAAACTGATTGTATATAGTTCATCCAGTTATTGACAGTTATTTTGTCAACATCAATGAAAGAGAAGGAATTTCTTAGATACGATGATACAAAGATAGCTGAGCTCTGGGGATAGTATATGGGACTTAGACCTCTCCTGACTCAAAATTTGGAAAGGGATATTAACTAGGGACCTTCTTTCCCTTTGATTTTATTTCTTTGATATCAGTTCACTCTGAGCAAGCTGGACCCAATTCTGTAGGTAATATTCAAATAACAGTTGAACAGGTTAAGCTTCATGTGTTACCTAATCTACAAAAATATTCTATTTCACTCTTAAGCACAGATGCCTCAGGATTCAGAGGTTGTGATAAAGTAGTTGGGTTTTTTCCAACTTTCCTTGCATAGAGGGAAGGAAGTCAGAAGAAAATCACCTTTTCCTTGTTGTTAGAAAGCATAAGAAGTTGTAATTTCTTATGGTACCAGGTATTCCCCTGGTAATAAAAAGTATGAGTATACTTGTTCAGGTGATGAGTGGCTCTAGAAGCTCTGTCTGCTTCAGCTTCCACAGAACCATGAGGTGCTAAATAACTATATTCCTAATCTCTCTGCTCTTTCTAGGAATGAGTAAATGGAGCAAAAAAGAGTGATTGAAAAAAAGACTTTTTAATTTGTTCACAGAATAGCTCTTGAGAGGTACTTTTAAACTTTGTGATGGCCCAAAAGAGAAAGAAGGCATGAATTCCTCTTGTAACTTCTTGCCACGGATATCACATGAACAAAAATATATTCTTTCTAGTCCAGACAATTAAAATTACAAGGAGTGGTAATTGTGAAGAAAAAGCTGGGGGAGGAAAAACATGAATGAGAGATTGCTTGACAAAGTCTTTGAATAACAGAACCTGTGTCAACAAATCTGAACTACATTTACAGCCCTGTTAAGAGATTGTGCCAGTTCAATGGCCAAAGGTATCAATCCTAACCCACAAGGTTACTTATTAATCCAAATGCAAACCTTGTACATGGTAATACTTTATTACTTTCTCAATAACACATCCTCAGCCAGCAACCTAAAAACCTCTTTCTGACATAGCAATGACTGAAACCATTAACTAACACTGAACTCCTTTTTTTCTCTTCAACTTATAAAGGTAAATAAGATTAACAAAAGTAGCTATGGTTACAGTAACAAACACAGTCATATAAGGATATCTGGTAATGACTCAAGTCAGTGCTGAAGTCAACCCTCTCACATATATTTAGCTATTCTCTCTGCTGAAATAGTGTATTTGCCAATACTTTACTGATCTCTCTCAACAAAATGTCATCAAACCACTACTACTAAAGATATTGCAAATACGGAGAGTTATTCAGTAGAGGTAAATGTAATCAATCAGGAACAGGCCTTTCATAGAGGGTCTGCAAGTGAGGACTTTCTTCCACAGGTACAGAAATGACAATATTCTGAGAGTTGTACAGGACAAACAGTAAAGTCCATTTGCTGCCCTAAAGTGCTTTCTGTATTAGACTTGCAATTGTGAGGCAGCTGTGAAGCAGTGTGGCTAGGCAACTCAACTGATTTATAGATAGGAGACTGCTACCTTCCTGAACAAAATTAGAGGCAACTGCTATAAGCATCTATTATCAGTTAAAAAACACCCCACTAATCTAGTTCCACGAAACAGCTATGGTGGCACCAAAACCCTTGTATACAAATCTAGAAGCCCAAAGGAAAAATTACATAAGCTACCCTAAAAAAAAGGCTTTTGCTTAACTACTATTATGCTTTTGAAATTTGGCCCCCCTCTTTTTAGTCTAACACAGAGCTGAAGGTCTCTAGCAATAACAGCAGACTACCTAAAGACCATTCACTGTTATTTTCTAGTTTTGATTAAAAATGCTGAGGTAAAACTTTTTAAAAATGAGAACTGACAGGACACAGTATCATGATCTACTGCCATTTATTGAAATCTGTCACCTTACGCATATATTTATAGGATAGGCAGACTAAATAAACATGTTAGAGGAGACAGAGAAGTATACACATTTCAATAGACTGGGAGAAAGACCTGCCATAATCCCATGACCCAAAATAATACAGCTTTCACAAACAACTGAAAAGAACTATGTTTTGGATAAAAGCAGTTTTCAAAGTGGACAATGAACTGCTAAAAAACCCCTTAGTTACATCAACCCGATACTGCAATTAAATTAAATAGTTTTCTGCTGTGTGAGGAGAGTTACTGCCTGAAAGACAACAGATCTCCAATAGCTCAGAAATAGTAATATGGAACAATTTTTCCATCAGAAGAGTCAGTAGTACAGTTCTTTAATAAAGGTAAAGAGGAATCTGGAAGTACAGTTATTAATTAGCCTCTTATTAAAATACAAGAATTCAGGAAACTAAGTAGCAAAGCAACTAGACTTTCTGACTGATGACATGTTCATATGATACATCCATGAAGATAATGACTCCTAACTGAGTTTACTAAGAGCAACTGTTTACTGTTAGTTACAACTAACCTATGGCATTTTTTGGTTTTCAATGTATGCAACAATGACTTACAAGCCAGAATGAAATTAGTAAGAACTTAAAAATAACTTAAAGTTGTGTTAGGAAAATCTCATTCATTCACTTGAAATACCAAAATAAAGCTCTGAAAGTAACAAAGTACCTGAAAAGACAGTATCTAATTACAAGAAAATTATAGAAAGGCATATTCTCCTCCCTCTCTGAAGCAATTCAATCTATCAAGTTGTAAAACTTTCTGAGTGTCTTACTGTCAGCAACATAGGTGATGCAGTGAGAAAAAAAAACATGTAGGGATTTAGAACTGCATCAACAGGAAAGTATAGACAGAGAGTAAGTCTTTTATCAGCCAAAATGGAGACGTGTCAGTTGGAGTCAATTGCCTACTAAATAAAACTTTTCATTATGCACTCACAGCCCAGAAAGCCAACCATATCCAGGGCTGCATCCAAAGCAGCGTGACCAGCAGGTCAAGGGAGAGGATTCTCCCCATTTACTCTGCTCTGGGTGAGACCCCCCCCTGCAGTACTGCCTTCATCTCTGGGGCCCCCAACACAAGGACATGGACCCACAGGAGAGAGTCCAGAGGTGGCCATGAAGCTGATCCGAGGGCTGGAACGCCTCTCCTGTGAAGACAGGCTGAGAAAGTTGGGGTTGTTCAGCCTGGAGAAGAGAAGGCTCTGGGAAGACCTTAGAGCAGCCTTCCAGTACTTAAAGGGGGGAAGAAGTTACTTATAAGTTACTTTCTTACTTATAAGAAAGATGGGGCCAGACTTTTTAGTAGGACCCGTTGTGATAGGATAAGGGGTAATGATTTTAAACCGAAAGAGGGTAGATTCAGACTAGGTATAAGGAAGGAATTTTGTACAATGAGGGTGGTGAAACACTGGAACAGGTTGCCCAGAGAGGTGTAGATGCTGCATCCCTGGAAACATTCAAGGTCAGGTTGCATGGGGCTCTGAGTAGCCTGATCGAGTTGAAGATGGCCCTGCTTGTTGCAGGGGGGTAGACTAGATGACCTTTAAAGGTCCCTTCCAACCCAAACTATTCTATGATTCTACGATTTGCACCTTCCTAGGCAAAATGAGGATATTTTTAAAAACACCATGAATACAAAATTTTCACTCCAGGCTTTAACTGTGAGTGTCAGGCCAAACAAACAAAAACCAAATTTTGCTCAGAAAACATGTAACTCATTTCAGAGAGGAAACAGCACAAACAATCCATTTATTTCAACAATGCAGTTGCTCATTACTA